TGGAACCTGAATTTAATTGAGTGTATCTACTCGGTTAACTTTAGGACCTGAGTGCTTCTTGGCCGGCCTGAAGTGTGTTCCTGAAAAAAAGCTGTTTTCTGTCACTACACTGAATTGACCACAGCCGATAGCGTGTGTAGACAGGCGGAGAAACAAGGCCAGACACATGGGTGTGACTGTCTCGCTGACTGCAACAGCAGTCACACGCTTTTCCACATGCAAACACAAGCAAGCACACACACACACACACACACAGACACACACACACACTGGGCGCTTTTATTTACACCCTAAATCCAATCAAGCTTCTCATTCATCAGTTTGCGTTAATGCTGCAGCCCGAGGTTGTAGTTTTTGTCACTTCCAGGAGCACCCTGATTTGTGAAGGGAACACCTGTAATGCTGCTCCGCGAGGCAAGCCTCGGGTCCTAAACTCAGCCTGAGAGGACTCAAACAGCCGCTGACACACACACACACACACACACACACACATACATACACACAACTTCAACACTCAGATATTCCCTGCCAGTCTCCTTCAAGGACGCCTGGGGAAGACTTGGAGGACAAAATCACACACTCTCTCTCCCAGTGTCTCAGACGCGCTGCACTTTTAATGCAGACAGAAAACCTCCTCCAAAGAGACTACAGGCACACGCAACGCCTCTCACACTCACACTCACACTTAAGCCCACAAACACCCTGAAAGGCCCTTCCACCTTCCTGTCCATGTGTGAGAAAAAGCAGGACATTTTCAGTTTCTGTTGTTTTCTCTCATTGTTGCTCTCTCCTGCTCTCAGCTGTTTCAAGCTGTTGAGTGTGTGTGTGTGTGTGTGTGTGTGTCAGTGTGTGTATGAAGTATAGGGTGGGGGGCTCACTGGGACTCTTTGACGACCTCATTCACTCTCCTTTTTCTCTCCCCCCTCCCTCAGGCCCGCCATAGCTGACACGTCCAACAATGAGGCGGGAGGGTGGGAGTCGAACAAAAAAAAAAAAAAAAACACTGAATGCGTCTTCATTTGCCTGAACTTTTCACACATCTTTCTCTCTCTTTTGTTGCCCGCCGCCTGTTCGCTCTAGTCCTGCTCGCCGCTCGGCCAGTTTCCGCTGGCAAGACAGCCACCCAAAGCCGCTCTCTCACCCCCTCCCCTCCTCTGTCACCTCCCTCCTCTCTCCCATGTTAAGCCCATTTTTAGCTTGACATAATCTGAAATGGTACTTAAGTGAATTTATGTCTACCTCAGTGCATTAACTTCTGCTATTTCCTCCTTTATGTTGCTGTTTTTTTTTTTTTTTCCTTCTGTGGAGGGTGCAGCGATGGAGGGAGCGAAAGAGCAGGATGGAGGGAGGGGAGAGATTTGAAACTCAGACCACGGAGTAGACAGCCTATCAGTATTCAGTAGAGAAAGTGAGTGATGGAGGGAGAGAGAGAGAGACGAAGAGAGAGAGAAAAAGGAGGAGGGGGTGATGTATCAATATTCTGAGTAGTGTTTGAGGGCAAGGGGAACGAACAGAGGGGGGTGGAGGGGGGGATTGTGGGAGAGAGAGAGAGTACTTGAGTGAGTCTCTGAGTGTGATTATTTGTTCACGTATAGGCTGGCATGTGTGTGCGTGTGTGTGGATGTGTTGTTTGCCCCGGTGTGTGCGTGATCGCCGGTGATCACACGTTGACTAGAGGTTGTACGTACAGTCACTCGAAGCATGTTAGTACATTTACACAAACACTTTGTGAGTATTCTAGAGTCAAGGCGTAAAGCAGCAGGTTCATCGTACAAGTAAATTCATTTATGATTACGACTAATATGTTGGTCTTCTTCAATTTAAAGGCAGCATTAGGAGTTTTTGAAACTCTCTCCAGGTAAAATAACACAAAATTGTAGTCACAGTGTTTTTTGCTCACTTCTGCCTGTGAAGAAGAAAGTTAACAAGGACTTCTTTCTTTTGATAATTTTATCAATTGTGTATTTGACCAGTCACATTAAACTGGAAATTTTGGTCACCTTCTTTAGGCTAACTAATGGCAATAAATCAAGAGTTTACAAAGTTTTGCCACTGTTGTATTACAGTGAATAAGTTTGTGTAGCCTTGAATCAGTACATAAGTTCGTGACTTTGCATCCAGCTAAAAGTTGTCTTGGACATCTTTGGGCACCGCTAGTCTACCGGCACCCCCCATATATAGAGATTATGGCTAAAGCAATCAGCCTGGGTTCGCCTCCAGCCTGTGTCTCCTTGACCCACCCCATCCTGTTTCCTACTCTATCCACCTTCCTATCATCTCCAAATAAAGGTAAAAATGACAGAAAATAAATCTTTAAAAGTGATTTATCTTTAAACAAAGAAAAGTAGGATAAGAAAAAAATGTTCTTTTTATTTTCTTGAATAATAAATGCAGGTGTTAGCAAAGGACTCAAATAAATCTAAACTAATAATTACATTATGTGGTTGTTGTGTGAAAAGATCAGAGTTAATGGGTTTCTGTATGTTTTCCTGTGTGGTTGTTTGGTGTGGCACTCCCAATAACAGCATCAAGAGGCACAGATTAGTTTATCTGGAGGTTTATTCACAACTGGGTTATGTTGTTAACAGTGACTTGACATGACATTTTGAAGAAAATGGCAATTGCAGGATCATTAAGCTAGCTGCTTTTCTTAAATACTGCGGTAGGAACGCCCAGATCTTTTAACATGGAAAAGTATCAGTCTAACAAAATCTGTGCCTTAACTTGAGAGAGGTCACCGTGTGGTCAGCATTCTGTATTCTTTGCTTGGCTGCAACAAAACTCCAAGATGTTGGTCAGGTCACTCTTGCTCATATGGTCAGAAACATGCTTGTTTTACAGTTTACAAAGATTGAATGTAAAAGTTAGACAGACAGTAGACAGACAGTCATTCCTGTCTCACATCTTAAAAACCATCAGACCAGCTCAGTGACTCAGGCGATTAAACTTATGTTCTACTCAAACAAAACAAATGATGCAAATTACAGGACATAGTGTAAATTGAGCAAATTTACGTGCAAATGTAAGTCTTGTGAAACTTGCTCGAAATGCTTATTAGCAAGAGATGAAAATATATATTTCGCTGCGATAACCAATCAGCATGGAGATACTCCAGCGACGTATATCAACAACTGACTGGCAGAGATTGATTTGTGTGGAAAATGGAGGATTAACGGATTGAGACAGTATGAGACCACCAGACAAAACTTGTCTGTGACACTGAGACAGGAGTAAAAAAGAGCTGAAGAGGTGAAGTGAAGAGGTCTGATTTAAACTCAACAGATTCCACAGTGTGGTCAACCTCTGCTATGTTTGATGTAAACAGACTCACCTGACACGTAAAAACCTGAAATCTGACGAAGACCCTTTCCTGTTTTTTAAGGTTTCAAGAGCAGTTTGACACTTTTATAGATTATGGATGGATTAGTCAACACCAAAGACTGTACATAGAATGGACAGCATCGGCCTCCTCGATGGGTGAAGCCAATCTGAGAACAGCACCCTCTAGTGACGGGCTGCAGTAAAGGTCATAAATACCGCCTCCACCAGCAAAGCTCTTGGAGTTGTGAACAAACTTTAGAAATTTATAACACAGAACATAGATTGCGTAGCTCACCCAGGAAATTCGCCGTTTGAGCCGAGCGTCATCACAGTGACTCTCGGCGACTCTCTTGCACTTCATTGTAGCCTCTTTCACAGTGTATTTCAAGGCGGGACTTTTACTCCTCAAAAAGGTCTCACCTCGAATGTAGACGTCACCAAAGAGTACACTCATGCGTCTCTCTGAAGTAGCCTCTAGATCTCTAGCCTTATGCCACGACCTGGTTTGTGAGAAGTAAACCAGAGATATGGCAGAATTCACAGGGAGTACCCGACTGGAGTGGAGTCCCTCATGGGTTTACAGAGGTTTCTGTTTTGTTAATTCTGCGTCTCAGTGGTCCAGTGAGTGTAAAAATTCCTCTGCCAGCATCAGCGACTGGAAACAGGTGAACAGACGACATTGTCCTTCTCTTCAGGACTCGTGTCTGCGGGTTTTAAAGTTGACTTCTACATCTAAACTCGACATGCTGCTGTGACAGGCATGTTTGTTGCTGTGCAGTCGCAAAGATACATCAAACAGATGTGGATAGTTGTCGACTTAGTCTGTCAGCTTTTTTAAAAACTCTCAGTCAATCAGTTCATGCTGTTAGTTGACATGTTAAGTCTGTCCTGCCTCTAAAACCCTGTAATATGACTGTCAGGGACACCAATTATAAATACACTGTTACCAGAAATTAAGTGAATGCACATGTGTGAGGATGGCTGACTTGTTGTAGACTGTGTAGATGTCGGGGTGATAGAAACATTGGTTTAATTCTCATGGACGGTCAGAATAGAGTTAAAGAAGTTGATAAAAAACTAGTTTTTTAATGCAGCGACTCTTTGGACAAAAGTGTTATCCACACAGGAAAAGAGTTCAGTTGAGCTGCAGATTGGTCCCTGGGACCGGCTTGATATCTCCTCAGTGAAAAATAACAGTGTATGTGTGTGTTTGCACAAAACAGGAGTCACAGTTTACAATCCATGTGGATGTGATGGAATCTCCCACTTGTTTCAGTCATCCCTTCCCTCTCTCTCCCTCTCTCTCTCCTTCTCTCTTTTACTCCGGCTGCTAATCAGCATTTGAAAGGCAGCTTTGACACTGAGAAAGAAAGTGAGGGAGGGGGGGGCACGGCGAGGTGGGGGTAAACGAAAGCATGAGACACAGCGAGTTTGAGAGGGAGGGAGAGCCGGAGAGAGACTGAGGCGAGAGGCTGTACAAGCATGCCTTTTATATTTACTAGTGACTGAGAGAGAGAGCGAGAGAGAGAGAGAGAGAGAGAGAGAGAGAAAGAGAGAGAGAGAGCAGCTGAAGGCAGAGACAACTGGTGTGCACGGCTTTCCCAAGAGGAAATGAAAAGAAAGAAGCTCAGCGAGGAGAGTGAATGAGTGAGCGGGAGAGAGGAAGGGTGGGAGGGAGCATGCCGGCTGGAGAGAGAGAGAGAGAGAGAGAGAGCAAGACAGAGAGACATAGAGGGAGAGGGCGAGAAAGAGATTCTCACACTGGCTGTGTCCTAATCCGAGTCCATCTCCAAGAAGCAGCGGAGCAGAGTGTTGCTGAAGTAAGTCTGAGAGCCAGGGAGAGCTACATCAGCTAGCTCCACTCACACACACACACTCTCTCTCTCTCTCTCCATCTCCGTCTCTGCCTCTCTCTCTTTCACACACTCTTTTTTTTTTGCAAACGGGGAGTCCACGCGATGTGTCCGGCTGCACGGCCACAGCTTTTGTGAAAGTGAGGGGACTGACGCTGCCCCCCAGTCCCGGCCCCCCCACCCCACTCCCCCTGTTTTGGCTCACACACACAGTGTTTGTTTGCTGTGTTTAAGCCCGGGGTGCTGCTGCTGCTGCTGCTGCTGCTGCTGGTGGAGGTGGTGGTGGTGGTGGTGGTGGTGTTGTATTGGTATTGGTGGTGGGGAGGGGGCACTGCCAGGGCAGAGCAGGGGCTCCAGAGAAGGAGAAGAAGAAGAAGAGGAAGAGGAGGAGAAGAAGAGGAAGAGGAGGGGGGGAAGAAGAGAGAGACAAAGTGGATCAGATCAACAGCAGCAGACTGAACGCTGGAAATGCCCGTCAGGTGAGTAGATAATGGATCTAACAACTTACACACACACGCACACACACACACACGCATGAGTGTACACACACATTGTCACACATGCTTGATTTTCTGCCGGACACAAACACAGCTGTAAAGTTATAAAGTCGCATTTCGTCAGATTTTTCTGCTGTTAGCTTTGAATGGATGCTGTTTTAAGAAGCTATTTTACTATTATGTGATTATTATTTTAAATTCTTTATAAAATCATGTGAAAGGAGAACTTTTAAATTTACTCATGGGGAAGTTTCTGGGTTTTTTTTTGTTTTTTTTTTTACAACATGTACAACATTTACAACTTGAGGATAAGAGCTGATTTCTCACTCAACTTTTATGTTCGTACGACTGAAGCAGCACAAAAGCAGATTCCAGGAGGTTATAGGATTTTTTTTTTTTTGTGGAGTAAATGAGAAAATGGGAGTAAAAGAGTTTTAACCTTCCCTCAACTTACTGAGTTCTTTTTAAACTGCGAGAGCCGTGCTTCATAACAGAAAACGCAAAGATAACTGTGCACATTTTAGCACAAAATGATTTATTTCTATAAATCATATAAAGGTGCTTTTGATCAGATGATTCATCCAAATGTTTCTTGAGTGTCTTTTTTAAATTCCATCAATTTGCTCCATCTAATGAACATCTTCACTGCAAACACCCCCTTGTTTTTTTTTAGATAAGTCTCATAATTATGTGTATTTATGTCTGGGGCTGAAAGGCTGCAGTAATGTTGGCCGGGCACTTGCTGGTAAATGTGTGTGTGTGTGTTTGTGTGTGTGTGTTGGAGTGAGTTTGAGATTTAGATGAGAGTGTGAGAGTGAGCGGGCTGCGTGTCCGTCTCAACCTGCAGAGGCAGAATTGGTCACAGTTTACTGGCTTTGCAACATTCGCTGCCTTCAGGGTGTTTGCAGCAGGTGGTCCAAATAGGCGGAATGAGTGTGACAAACACAGTGTTCACCGCTGCTGTGGAGTAAATAATAACATCAAACCATCACATGCTCATTCCTGATTTTTTACTTTATTGCTTTTTCGCCGTAATTTGCAGCCGTTAAGGTTAAATCTGTAGTCTTAAAAAGGTGCGCCACTATTTTTGCATTTTTTTTAAACATGCATGAAAATTGTGCAAATGCAGAAGTTTGTGTCTAATTTCTCTAAAAGCTTCCCTGTGTGCGTGTGCACATAGAGTAAGTGTTCATCCATATGTCGGTATTTGCATTGATTGTGTTTGCTGTACACTCTCTGGATGTTTATCCGAAATCTCTGATGTGTGTTTTGTATAAATACGGCTGTGTTTGGTACACCGCCCAGCAGCATCATTTGCACACACACCTGCAGAGAGAGCAGGTGCTTGAGATAAATTCAAACCAAATAACTACTTGCAGCACAGACTCACTCTTCCAGGTGTCAGGATGAGGTGTCAAAACGGTACGATTAGTGAAAAGAGTTCTGTCTGTCCGTGCTGTTGTATAACGCACAGTTTTGGTAATAAGTTACTGCTGCGAAAAAGTGTTTTGTTCGACTTTTTTCAGTCATTTACATTTTTTTATTGAATATTTCCCTTTTTAATTTCTTGCTGTGAAGATTGAAAACAGCAGCCATCCATGTATGTAGAAGCGCTGACACGAAACAGGTTGAGACCGTGTCATCACACGTCCGTGGTACAGTTTATACCCTGGACCACTGAGCCTCTAAGCCCCTCCATCCGTTTCAGCTCTCGCATGTGCAGGGCGCTTTGGTCGTGACCTTGCTTCAGGCCTTTTTTATTAGACCCAGATGTGAGATTCTTCTTTTTGGCTTTTGGGTTTTAAGGAGCTGCGCTTCATGCCAGCAGGCGACTATGTGACAGACTCTGAGTTGGATGACTTTGTGAAAAGTGAAATTGTTGGCAGCAAAGAGCTCTGTTTGAAGACGGCAGACAAAAAGTAAAGTCGAAAGAATTTAATATAAGGTAGCAGAAGTGTTTTTTTCAAGGGCAGGCAGATGAGCGTGCTTTTATTTTGTCAGTACTGGTGTGCGTTTCTGATGATCTTGCGAGGTAACATCTGGTTTTCTTTGCCAGTTAGAGTTCATTTTATATAAATAACTCTCACAGGAGTAGATAAAGTTAATATCAGTCATTTCAAAATGTATCTCAGCTGGCAGACAGTCACTTTTCCTGCCTCTGACAACTTCTCAGGTAGACAGACACCTCGCAGCTCCACAGCTTTCGTCCTCTTTCCATCCCTCTTGATATTTTCTCCTCTCTCTGTTGCTCTCTCTTACACACACGTGCGCACACGCACACACAGTAAGGTGGTCAGTGTCTGCTGTGTTGACAGACAGCCACTCACACGCCTTGCACTCTCTGGCTGTGCGTGCATGTGAGTGTGTGTGTGTGCGTGTGTGAGGAGCATTGACAGACAGTGTGTGGGTCTGTGACAGAGGGTGTCAGCGCAGTGTCAGGGAGATGTGTTTAGTGTCACACTCTGCTGACCTGATCTCCGCTCGGACTGTCCGCTCCGGCCCCGCTGTGGCTCCTTACATAACCCCCGCTGTCATTCACACACTGGCCTGAAGGGATCCACACACACACACACACACAGGAACGCACACACATATGCTGTTATTTAGTGACGTGCACAAGATGTGAAGGCATCCAAAATCACAGCCGGATGCGAGATCAGGTGCCAAACCCAAACCTCCATCTCTTTTGTTCTCTAATTTATGCTACAAAAACAGCCGAGTTTTGATAAATTAACACCAAATCTGTAAATATTCAAACAAAAGCCTAAAGCTCCTAAAGCAGTGTGTGGGAATCCAGCGCGAAGCCTGCAGGGATCAGGGTGTTCCCAGGGTGCTGCAAGACACCTACACAACTTGTGCAACTCTTATCAAGAGTTGGACTCTGCTCTGAACTCTGACTTTTGCACCCTGCTAATTGATGTGTCTGTATTAGCATGTGGACATCGTTGTGCAGAATGAGAGTTTGCTTTCAAGTCCACGCACACACACTTGTATCTGCGCGTGTGTGTGTGTTGTAAGAAAGTGAGTGACCCTGTGTGCTGTGCTTTGGCCTGTGGTTATTTGGAGGTCAGTGCTGATGTGGTCTCTGCCTGCGGGAGTGGATTTACCATCTTCTGCCTTATAGAGAGAAACCTGCATCCACTTAGCCGACTCTCGTACACTCTCAGAGAGAACTTTGTCTTCTTTTTTTACCTTTTTTTTCTTTGTCCAACAGAAGAAACTTTTACAATCTCGCAAACATTTGAAAACTCTGCATGAATATTATTAATCGCCTCCTCTAGAAGATTTTACTATTGACCTTCCTGTTAGACCCTCTTTTATCCTTTAGCCTCGTCTGACATGGAGGTCGAGAATTTAACCCTAGAAAACTCTGCAGCTGTTATTTTTGACATGTTTTATTTTATTGACCTCAGACTTCGATATAATGATCAGGGACACTTAACCTGATGGACTACATATTCTTACGCCGTTTCCTTTTAGAGCAGCTTTTATTTTATCAACTTTACCTGCTCCTTTAAACGAATCTATTTTCAAGTGTTTCACAACTTAGTTTTGACATTTATTGCTCTTGAATCGCTCATATAAAACGTTTTACGCGGTGAGATCAAGTCCTGATCCTTCTTAAATTTTACACCGGCTCTTCAGCCTGAATGTTATTAAGATACTTTTAGTCTTAAATGTGGAGTGACGTTCGTTTTGTTCCAAGTCGATGTTCTTTATTATTTAGGCAAATGTTGTGAATACGTCCAGGATTCTTGTACACAGATACTTTGAACTCCACGTTTCGTACAGTGCAGGTGGAGTGCGGTGTGTTTTGTGTGTACTCAGGCTGAGGTGGATGGTAATTATGACAGGCACGGATTGGATTCTGCGTTGCTCCACGCCCGTGAGGAGTGGACATCAAAGCGTGCTCACCAAAGCCCTCTGTAATAAAAGAGGAGGAGGAGAAAGATATTGATTACCATGGGTGAACATTAGCAAATCTCTTTCTCTCTCCTTTTTTTTCATGTGCGTCTTTATCCGTCCATCATTCCTCCCGCTCCCTTCTTCACTGTCTGATTTTCCTCCCTCTGCTTCAACTTATGCTCCCTCCATCCCCCGCCCGCCCCCATCCAACCCCCTTTCTTATCATTTATTTATCGCTGATCTCTTTATTCCGTATTTAGGGACAATCCACGCTACCACTGTATGTTGCGGGTTGTTATCGCCGTTCCTTTACACCCTCCTCTTCCTCCTCATCAGCGCAGAGATACCTGGGGGCGGGCGGGGTCACTCTGGTCCAATCTAACGCCGTATTGATTCCATTAGATAATTAATGACCCAGGCAGGGGCCAGGGAGGAGCAAAGAGGGGGTTAGGAGTGGAGATGGAGGGGTGAGGATGATGGGAGAGGCAGAGGGAAGGGATGGAGGAAGGGGAGCGAGCGGTGGAGGGAGGGAAGGAGGGGGGGGACGCCGAGGCCCTTGAGAGTTGGAGAGAAACCTTGGGTTGGGAATGATCCAGAGTCGTCAAGGTCAACCGCAGCCGGCGCTCGGATACGAAAGCAGAATGCCGAGCAAGTTGAAATAAGGAATACTGATAGAGAAGGAGGGGGGTAAGATCTTCATGTCCAGCAGCTGTCGATTGATCAGCGGCTGAAAAATTGTACATTAAAAAGTCTTTTGACTTCCAAATCCTGAGGTCCAACCAGGGCCGTAATGCATGATAAGTAGTTTTCAGCCCTCCAACCAGAATACCAAACTTCATCTCCCTGGACGCCGCAGACACTCATTTACAACTACTCAACAACATGAAAGGCGAGATAGAAAACTAGCTACATCAAATATTCTGTGCGTGTTATTTCCAACTCTGTTTGCTACATCTTCCATGATATCGAGCGTTCCCTACGTGATCAAATATTATTCACAGGAACGTCTACATCGCTGTTGTATGTGCACTCCACTTCGACCTTAAGTTGGAGATA